ACTGAAAAAGTCATTTCCCCGAAGTCAACTTGGTACTTAGCTCCTCTAAATTTAGCTAGTCTGGTCCTTGGTCATCAGACATAAAGTTTATCATTAAGCCCTTACATGAAGCCTTTTCAGACTGATAGAACTGGCCAGAACATATACTACAGTAGCATAGCTTTTGAGAAACCAGGGTAACCTTTATGCCACAACAAGATATCAGAGTAGTGCTTACTAGTGGAAGATGAATATTCTTAATAATGATAAATCTTAAATCCAGAATTGTAGAAGTGATGTCAGCGTTCATCTGTTGACAGACTTGATTTCTGGAAAAAGCCAAAAGTCATTTGGAACAAAATCTTGTAAATAAGCTAGGTAACTTAACTATGTGATGCTTTTTTAAAAAAAAAGTCATAACATTACTAAAAATCTGTGAGATTGTTTTAGATAGTAGAAACATTGTCACAACCTCTCTAAACCTCACTTTTCTCAGCTGTAAAATTGGAAGTTCTAATGCTATAACATCTACAAGATTGTTGTGAAAAGACCACTTTATAAATCTTGAAGCTCCATAGAAATGTAAGTTATTATATCATAGGAGTACAGACTCTCAACAAGCTACTTTGAAGTACAAAACTAATTGGCATTAATGAATTCTGGTATATCTGAGTAAAAAGTAGTTATTACTTTATAGCTATATTTTGTCTTTATTCACAGTGTACACACATATGCATAGACATACATATTCACGCACTCATCAGCCTACCCATGCATAGAAAATTATACATACCTCCCCATACAGCCCTATATCCAGATAAGAATTCAGGCACACATGCACAAAAATAGATGTTGCTGATGGAGCTGAATCATATCAATATTGACAGTCTTCTATAAAAAAAAAAAACCAGAAGACAAAAAGGAAGTTGCAATTGAATTGAAGGGTGACTTGCATGCTTCTCCTGGGAGAAGTAAAGAGGGAGTTGATGGAGAAGGTTTTGTCATCATTCCAAATACAATAAGAACATTATTTCATAGTATATTTGGTCATCATGTTTTGGAGTAGGTTATATACTAACGTGATTGCTAAAGCCATAAAGAAATTCTATGAAGAACTTGTTAAAAACCCTCTAAATCAAATCAATGTATACTTAGACACTTGGTGACTGCAATAAAAAAGTAAGGATGGGGAGAAATATGTGGGAAAGTGTGGTTCAGGATGAAGGAACAAGAGACACCAAAGACTTGTAGATGACTCAGAACCCTCATACTTCCTTATCGTGAACGCAGTCTTTAAGAAGACAAGTGGTAGGCACTGGAATCATAACCCCAGAAAAAACAAAGTCCATTATATTTTAACCCACAGGAAAAGACTTCTTGATGGGGGTGTTATCCCTGAGTCAGATGAGAATTAGGGGAAAAAAAAACAAGAAGAAATAATAATGAGAAAAACATATACAGATTCAATTGGAAGGCATACTCTGAACCTTCAATCTCTGACACTTACCAGCTATGTAACTATGTAACTCTCAGTACTCTAGGTAGCGTTCTGAGATGGTGAACTAAAGAGAAAGTGCTGACCTGCTTTATTAAATGGATTTTCCTCACCAGAGAATTCCCTATCCCAATGAAATCATAGATCCAGTTCTGATATCTAACCCTAAACTATTTGAAAAAATAATTAAAAGTAAAAAATGGAAGATGGACAATAGAAATAACACCAACATTGATATCCAAAAGTTAAATCAATGTATATTAATTGCCACAATAAAGAGACCAAAAGAGGCCAGAAAGTACCTTAGTCAGCAAATATCTGACTGACTTAACAGAAATAGCTGTAAAGGCAACACTGGACTAGAATATAAACTTGTTTGTAAAATCTTACAAAGCTAGATGGACTTTTATTGTGTCATAAAGCAGAGAGAAGCAATAGAGAGTGAAACTAAAGAAAGATTGGCAAGATATCAATAAGTATCTCATGGTGGGATTTGAACTTGGGTTTCCTAACTCTAATGCCTATCTGCTTTGCTATACTGCCTCTGTATAAATACCCTTTGAAGAATCGCTAGGAAAGAAGGTATATGACATGGTAGATGAGAAAATAAAGAGGTGAAAGAAAATGTGGGTTGGATGGGAAATGCTGGTTAGGTAAGATATCTACATAGTTGTGAATGAATAGACAAATGAATAACTTATTGGCAAAAACCATAGAATACTAGTTATCTGAAGGGATATTCATTATTCTCTTTTGAGGTCCAGAAAATTCCATTGGAAATTCAGTTTTTAAATTCCAGCTACTCTATTTTTGTCCTTTTTAACACATCAAGCTTACTATCTACATGGTAAGGTTCTAGCTTAGAATTAAGGTGAAATTAATAAAAAGTTCAAATCAAAACAATCCTTTTCCACTTCACATCCAGCAAATTGGTAAAGATGACAAAAGATGAGAGTACTCATTGCTGGAGGAGGGGTGAAAAGAACTACATTAATTAATGTGTTGTTGGTAGAATTGTGAATTAGTACAACTATTCTGGAAAGCAACTTGGAATTATGCAAATAAAATGGATAAAATGTCCATGCCCTTTGACCCAGAGATACTATCATTTAACATATAACTCAAAAACAAAGGTTCAAATTACACAAAAGTCTTGATAACAATATTGTGGTAGCAAAGAATTAGAAATAAAGTAGATGCCCATCAATTTGGGGATGGTAAAATACATTGTGGTACATGAATGTAATAGAATATTATACATTAAGAAATGCCAAACGTGATGAATACAAATATGTAAAGACATACATAAATTAATGCAAAGTAAAGTAAACAGAGCCAGAAAGATAGCCTACACAATGACTACATCAATGTAAATAAAAATAACAACGACCAAAAACCAAAGATGAATGTTGTGAAATTGAAAAAGAACAAGATCAGACCCAAAGAAGAGATGAGAAGACACCTCCTCCTGCTCCTTTGCAGAGGATAGGGGGTCCACCTCCTCCTGCTCCTTTGCAGAGGATAGGGGGTCCATGGGTATGCAACATTGCATATGACATTAGATTTTTTTCAATGTATTGATCAATTTTGCTGATGTTTTTCCTTTTCTATTTTTCTCATTTGCCTCTTCTTCCAATTTTTCTCTTTTTCTTTTTGTAAATTAGAAGAGGATAGATCCAAGGAGAAATCTAGGTGATATAAAAATAAAAGACTTCAATAAAAATCTATTTGAAAAAATTATTTTGTTGAAACTGAAAGTCACTCTAGTATATGCAAGTCCCAAATTCTACCTATATCCAAGAGGCCAGATTCTTATCTTCATCTAGTCTTGAAGCAGCAAAGATTTTAATCTTTGAGCTAAAACTTAATGTCAAAAAATTAAGGCATACTAAACGTATTTATAAATGTAGATAATTACAGATGAACCTGCACTCTTTGGAAACATCTAATCTGCCAATTTCAAGACTGATTTTATTCTAGAACCTTGGCAGTCAGCCCAATCATGGATGCAACTGAGTAGTCCATGTATCAGTGCTGTGCTGAGATTTGGGTATAGTATTCATTGAAACATGCAATCATAATTTGGTGTTTTAAATTAATATTCATTTATTCTAAATCTTAACTTTCTTACCTAGATAGAAGCTAAGGGAAAAATATAAGAACAAAAAACAGAAAGAAATTTTAGTAGGTTGTTCCAGAAAAATTCTAGAGATGAACAAGAGGTAAATCTAATAATTTTAAAAGTCATTAGTTTTCTTAAAGTTATTACATGGTTGAGGGGGAGAAGGGAACTATCAATGATGGAGGAAGAAGAAGAGGAAGAAGGAGAAAGAGAAAGAGACAGAGGAGAAGAAGGTGAAGAGAGGATAACTGAAGCATTTTTAATGCCTAAAACAGAACGAAAGGAAGCTCAGAATAAAATAAACACAAGTAAGACATCTTGGAAATTAACATGTTGAATTTATCATCGAATTTTTTAAGAAGCAAGCTATACACACAGAGGCTTATGGTTTCACAAATCTTTCTGATCTAAGTTTTATGTGTAAACAGTCTTCTTATGTGCATTAAGTTTGGGGGTTTTTTTTAATATTTTAAGAGTAATTATACAAAATGTCAAATTGATTCCTTTTATATGCCAATTTTTCTCCAGAGAATGATTAAGAATTGATTCTCATTACTTTTTATTGTGATTGGGAACCTGCTCAGCTCTGGAATCCCTAACTCCTCAGGTTCAGCTGGAATACTGCATTTGGTATAATTCTACTTATGCAAATTTGACTTTAACCCTCAATCCAGTACATACTGTTTATTCATAAACCACACAGTAGCCATAAATCAAATTGAAAAATATTTAATTGCAACAGAATAGCAAGATACATCATATCATAAAATAAATGATCAATAGTATTATCTCAGCCCCCCTCCTCCACTTCTCATACACAAATACATACACACATGCATATGTGTACACACACAAAGAACCTCCGTTAGGCTCACGTATTATTAGCAAAGTAACCTAGGCTTGAGCAAATTTATATGGCCGGTGGTACTTCATAAATAGATTTTACTCAAAAAATTAATTGAACCAGAAAACTCCATTTCCCAACTATGCTGGTTCTAAGTTGTAAGACTGAAGAACATAAGAAGAAAGATACAGATTCATGAACATAATTTAGTGAAGTAAAATATCAGAAGCAGGTAAACCAGTCAATTAATAAACATTAAGTGCCTGCTGTGTGCCAGGCATTGTGATAAGTGCTAGGGATACAAAGGAGGTTTATGATTTTTGATAAATTTACCTGAATGAGAAGATAAGTATGATAATCAGTGTGCTCTATATGATATGACTTAGATACCATCCAGTTTTATAGTGTTAATGTTCCCTAAGCTTGAAATGTCTATTATTATACTTAGGAAAGAAAATTATTCCATTCTTTGGTTTAGTTTTTCATTGACTAGATCAATCTGTATTTATGTATATATATAGGTATGTATTTATTCATTCATTCATTTATTTTTGTACTAGAATAAAGTAAGAGAATCAGAAGTTATTATTCCTCCAAACCAGGAGTCAGAAAGGAAAAACGTGAGTATCTTTTAATGTTATAGAATTCCTCATCCATCTAGAAATGAACTAGTATCTGTACTCAGAATATTTTGTACTAGGTGAGAAAGAAGAGACTTAACTTTTTCAATTTGGTGTTGAATTTTGTTAAATGTAATACAAAATATTTTGTCTAGAAATCTAAAAAGATTACTTATATTGTATACTGAATTTATTTGAATCCATAGCTATCTAGAGAGGATGGAAGTAATGTTTGTAAATTGGGAGAGACCTAATAAGTAAGTGAATATTTACAAAAATAGGTTTTGTCTTCCTGTTAAGTACTCAAAAACTGTTGCCTCTTTCTTTGCCCCTAATCCCAACTCTATCCCACCACGCAGTTAGCATCATTCACCCTTTTCACTAACCCCTGCCTATACATGTGCCTGCCTCACCTCGAGTGTACTGAGGGCTTATACTCACAGATTCTTCTAGGCACTGCCAGTAGAGGATTTGGAAGCTGAATCTCACTAGCTAAGGACAGAACTGTGCTTAGACAGACAGAGACAGGTATTTAATTGGAACTATCAGTCACATGGACTGTATGAGATATTCTAATATAAAGAGTAAACATGCAAACCCAGTATAAATTCAGGACTCCAAAGTATATAGACTATCAGGGGAAATTCCTAGCTCTGTACAAACAGATAAATCTATTAAAAAATGTCTCTTATAGATTGAAAATAGAATTCTTAATAATCCAAAAAGGGGAGGGGAGGACACAATTATTCCTGAAAGGAGGATGAAATTGATTACTAATCAATACCTGTTCTAGGTAGAGTGTAGGGCTTACTCACAAGACCCAGATTCAAAATGTGACTCTGACGTTCACTAGCTGTTTAGGAACCTGCAAGTCACTTAACCTCTAGGTGCCTTAAATGATTCTCTAATCTTTAATCTGCTAAATTATAGGTTGATTGCACTCTGTTTTGGTAGAGAATCACCAGCCCTTCACATACCCATCTTAGATCCCTTAGGGTCTGCCATATAGTAACCTAAAAAGGATAGAAAAGCCAAGAAGTCGGGGCAGTTAGGTGGCATAATGTATAGAGCACCGTCTCTGAAGTCAGGAGGACGTGAGTTCAAATACAGCCTCAGACCAAAACACATGACATGTACTAGCTGTGTGACCCTGGGCAAGTCACTTAACTCCAATTGCCTAAAAAAAAAAAGCCAAGAAGTGGCCACTAGGATAGCAAGGTTGAAAGAGTACTGAACTGGAGCTTACAGGAACTGAATTCAAATCCTGGCTCTGCTATTTACTTCTTGTATGTCTTTGGACAAGCTCCAGTTTCCTCATCTGTAAAAAGTTGGAGTTGGATTAGAAGATATTTAAAGTTCCTTCAAGATCTAGATCTATGATAAAGAAGAGAGAGAAAGTAAAGATAGAAACCAAGTCTCTGCTCCCCTTTTCAGCTAGAAGGCAGAAAGAGAGCACAGAGCCAAAAGTTTCTGTTTCTGTTTCCTTCTCTCCTATTTCTTTTTCCCCACTCTTTCCCCTAGCTCCTACCACCTCAGTCCACTTCTTCCCACTCTCTCCTCTCCTCCTCTCTTGCCATCCCTACTCATTTTCTCCCTTTTCTCTTCCCTTTCTTCCTTCCCTTCTCATCCGTCTCCTTCTCCACCTCTTCCTCCTCCCTTCCATTTCCAGCCTCTTTTCTGTCTCCTGGCTTCTTCTTCCTTCTCTTTCTCTTTCCTCTACTGTCTTCATTTTCCCCTTCCTTTTCTTTCCTTTTGAAGTTCTTTTCCTTTTCCTTTTTCCTTAACTGGGCATAATGCAGAAATCTATCAATCAAGCATTTATTAAACAATGTCCATGTGCCAGGCACTGTGCTAAGGGCTAAGGATAAAAAAAAATGAAAGCTCCTGTGTCAGGAATCATACATTCCAATAGGGGAAACAAATATGTAAGTCAGAACATGCAAGGTAAAATAGAGTAGAAAGAAATATCAAAATGTACATACACCTATAAATATAAAGTTTTCCATATGCTGTTCTTTATTTTTAAAATGGTTAAATAGAGTATTTTATCTTTTTGTCTCTTGGAAAATCCTCAATAAAAATTAATTTTTATTTATGTGGATACCAATTGAGCCTTAAAAGCCTTTAATGGAAAAAGATTTTTCCGTTCTTTGCCTTGAAAGCTCATTTCCACATCCTTTCTTTGAATCAGCATGATTTTGTCTTTATGTGATCTCAATTCAAGAAACATTTATTAAGCATTTATTTTTGAAAGCCTATTTTCCTTGATTGATTATGCACTTACTCTTGCCTATTCTCCATTCAAATCTGCTGTTCTTTCAATCTTGTGCATTTGTTAATTCTTATAAATAAATATCCATTACTCCTCAGGCAAAAAACCACAGAATGAATATTTTGGAGCTCACTGGGAAGCAAATAACTATATTTTCTCCATTTGGAGAAGGACCATTTTTCAAGAAACTACACAATCAAAAGGTTCGAATACCATATGTCATTAATATAAACTTGACTGTGTTACATCTTAGCAGAAAGTATTTGGAATATGCCATTTACTGTTCATTCCTAGCACAAGCAAAGTATTCTCAATCTTATTTTAGTTATGATGTATACCTAACAAGAAGAAAAGTCTCCAGAATTTTCTTTTCCATGATGATTGGTGGTCCAGAAAGCATAACTTATTGGGAGACATTACCTGAACTATTTGGCTATATATCTAGTTACAAAGTAGTTATATCACTGGGCAAAGCCTTTGATAAGTGGGGAGTCTTTTGATATGCAAGAAGTTTAAAAAGCAGAGTTGGAATAGAAGGGGAAAAGTGATATGTGGATGAGCAGAGATGGGAGAGGCAAGCAGCACAATCCACATAGTTGGAGTGAATAGGTAAAAAGGGGTCCATGGAGAAAGGCAACCATGCAACCATTCCTAAATCCAGGAATCCCAGCAGAAGCCTGACAACTCTGTATACAAGTAGAAAAGCTTTAGCAGATCCTAGCTAATACCAAGAGGTTATTGCAGAACTCTATGAGGCAAACAACACTGAATCCTAAACCTTTATCACTGGGCCATATATTCTGAAGCTGCTATGTCTTTTTTCCATCATGGTGAAAAAAATCAATGATAATTGGGATGGGAGATAATCCCTCTAGATCCAATAAGGGGCTGCATATGTGGGTGGTGGGTGTGGGGATAGAGAATGATTCTCTTGCTATTTATTTGAGTTTATGCTTTAAGTGCATTTGCTATTGATTTGTGATACTTGCATGGTCTGTAAATAGTGGTGTTCTGGTAGGGGCTCAGGACATGATTTACAAAATACATTTTTCTAAATAGCCCACACTAAATCTTGAAAAAGTATCCAGGGGCTCCCAAGCCAAGAACTCTGAGTGTTTTGAAGGACAGCTATATTTTGTGGGAACTTATCTGAGATCTTTATGTATTGAATAAGTCTTCTTTATGGTCTTCTGGATCAAGGAAAGACTACCTGCTCCAGCATTACAGGGATCCATTAAAGATTTTCCATTTTGGCTTACAATGACTAATATTTCAAAGTCTAAGTTGCTAACGACAATAACCTCACCATCCTACAGTGCCTAATTTGTTTCTATTAATAGTTTCTATGGGGGGCAGCTAGGTGGCGCAGTGGATAGAGCACCAGCCTTGGATTCAGGAGGACCTGAGTTCAAATCCAGCCTCAGACACATAACACTTCCTAGCTGTGTGACCCTGGGCAAGTCACTTAAAACCCCATTGCCTAGCCAAAAAAAAATAGCTTCTATGCTGGGGGCTATACTGAAATTTTTTCTTTTTTCACTCTAAGCTATTAGTTAGCATATTTTTTTCCCTCAGTGCAAGAATTCTTCTTAGGCCAGGCATATTCGTTCAAGTTACCATTATTCCATTGTGTGTCAGTATCATTGTCTTTTTTTGTTTATTGATGAAATAATTATATTTTGCTGAACTAACTTCAATGCAGTCCAACTCTATTGAAGTATACAGTGTAATTGTGTGCACTAAGGGACACTGTTTAACTGTCCTTGTACATCTCATACTTTTGTGCTGGATAAATAGTCACTATAACTGTTGGAGAACTAGGACATAGTGATAAGACTTGACTCTTCCTGAGTACTGTTGGTTTTGAGGGCATACATTTTGACTCTGATGATGATGACAACATTGAAAGGTCCTTACAACATCCTGTGACACTTTAAGGAAAGTTTAGGTATATAGGAAGGAGGATAAAGTGGTAGTTGTATTATTTCAGTTGTCTGAAACTGTAGGGTATTCCAAAATTCCGAAAGAGACAACTTGTAGAGGATGCAAAGGTTAATTGAAAATATTAGCATACCCCTCTACTGATCAGAAAGACTTCATGCTGAAAGAAGGGTGAATTGAAAGTAATTTAAAAGGCCTGATAGGAGCTGTTAGCCATACCTTCCTCAGTAGACAATGACCCAATGTCAGTAGCTAATTATGGAGGGTGGGGGTGGGAGGGACAACAAACTTTCAGACAACTAATATTGTTACAAGGGACTCAGCATAGAAAGCTGCCTTATTTAAGGGAGCATGGCTTCGCATCAGGAAAGGAGCCCTTCAGTCCTAAGACATGCCATCACTGTAATATAAGCATTGCAGAGAAATATTATAAAAAATCATAAAGAAGAATTAAGAAGCCCCTTGATGAGGATGAAAGAGGAGAGTGTAACTGGCTTGAAGTTTAACATCAAAAAAACTAATAACTTGGCAATTGGTCCCATCACTTCCTGGAATTAGAAGGAGAAGAAATGAAAGCAGTGTCAGATTTTGTATTCTTGGGCTCAAAGATCACTGCAGACAATGACTGCAGCCATGAAATTAAAAGAAGCTTGCTCCTTGGAAGGAAAGCTATGGTAAATCTAGACAACATACTAAAAAGCAGAGGTAGCACCTTGACACAAAGGTCCATATGGTTCAGACCTGCACAACTTGGCAGTAGGCAGGGGCCAAAATTAAAATACTCTGAACTTCTTCGGGCCACAGATAAGTTTTTAGTGGCTCACTTTCCAAGTTAACTAGAGACAGATTGACAATGGTTGGTTGCCACAGGTCACGTGACACACAGGAGAGAGTACACAGAGGCCATCCAAAATCCTTTGGCGGGCTGCAAGTGGCCCACAGGCTGTATGTTGTGCAGGCCTGACATAGTTTAAGCTATGGTTTTTCCAGTAGTAATGTATGGCTGTGAGACCATAAGGAAAGTTGACTACCACAGAACAACACTTTGGAATTGTGGTGCTGGAGAAGACGTTTGAGAGACCCTTGGACAGCAAGGAGATCAAAGCAGTCAAAACTTAAAGAAATTAATTCTGACTATTCACCAGAATGGTCAAATACTGAAGCTGAATCTTAAATACTTTGGCCATATAATGAAAAGATAGGACTCAATGGAAAAGACCCTGATGTTAAGAAGGATTGAAGACAAAGGAAAAGGGAACAACAGAAGATGAGATGGAGAGATAGTGTCATGGAAACAACAAACATGAACTTGGACAGACTTTGAAAAGTGGCAGGGGATAGAAGGGCCTAGCGTGCTATGGTGTGTGGGGTCACAAAGAGTAGGACACGAATGAGTGCACAACAAAAGCAATTGTAAAGAAATATAGGAAGCTAATGGAGAGCCTTGAGAGACCTGATTTTGACCTCAGATGCTCCTTGAAAATGCAGCACCCTGTTCTCCCAGCTTTCCTTGGCAGCAGCCACAGTAGCAGCCCCAGCATGTCCCATCAGAAGCTCTCCAGTCTCAGGAATGAGTCTCTGAGCTTCCTGCCTCAGAAGTGAAGCAGACACCAGGCAAAGGTGAAGAGGCTTCCCAAAGATGACCCCACTGAGCTCATCCATCTCACAGCCATTCTGGGCTATAAGGCAGACATGAGCCACATCATTGGAGAAGTGGACAAGCCTGCTTACAGGGGAACAAGAAGGAAGTGCTTGAGGTGGTCACCATTATGAAAATGCCCTCCCAGGATCATTGTAGACATAGTGGGCTATGAGCAAATCTCCAAGGCCTCTGGAACTTGAAAGCTACAAGAACTGGCACAAATCCAAGAAGACCTTTATCATGTTCTTTGAGAAGTGGCAAGACAATGATGTCAAGAAGCAGTTGGTGAAAGACCTCAACAGCATAAAGAAACACTGCCTGGTGATCTGAGTCATTACCCATACCCAGATGTGATTGCTCCCTCTGAGGAAGAAGTCTTGCCTGATAGATATTCAGATGAATGGCAGCAGCATGGCTGCGAAACTGCACTGAGTCCACGAAAATCTGGAGTAGCAGGTACCTTGTTCCACTGTGATTGGTAAGAGGAGATGATTGTCATCACTGAAGTGACTAAGGGCAAGAGTTACAAAGGTGTCACTAGCCACTGGCTAGAAACTGCCCCAAGATACCTAGCAAGGTCTGCCTAAGGTGGCCTATATTGAATCTTGACTTCTGCCTTCATGGCATTCTCTGTGGCTGGTCAGAAGGGCTACCACCATTGCATCAAGATTAACAAGAAGATCTACAAGATCAGCTAGGGCTACTACATAAAGGATGTGAAACTGATCAAAGTCAATGCATCACCAATTACAACCTGTTTGACAAGAAATTAACTTTCTGGAAGGATTTGTACACTATGGTGAATTGACCAATGACTGGGAGGCTGTGTTGTTGGGACCAAGAAGTATGTCCTCACTCTACAAAAGTCTCTGTTGGTACAGACTAAATGCTATGTCCTGGGGAAAATTGACTTGAAGTTGGTCAACACCACCTCCAAATTTGACCATGGCTAATTCCAGACTGTGGAGAAGAAAAAGTTTTCATGGGACCACTCAAAAAGGATCAAACTGCTAAAGAAGAAGCTGCCTAATGTTTCCAATCCAATTTAGACCTCGTGGATTCTCAGTAAATTGAAATTATTTTCAAGGAGAAAGAAAGAAAGAAAATGAAGCACCCTGAGGTCACGGGGCTAGTGATGCAGATGCTAAATAACCATTTTGGTGGTGTGGAGAATGGCATAGGACTGATGTGTTAATTTCCTTAATATCCTAACAGGAACTTTCTTACTGTGTATAATGGTTGGAAAGGCTGTTTCCGAAGGCATAGTAAAAGGGACAATGCCTGTGGAGCTGGTAGGCAATGTCAGATCAACCCAAATAACAAGGAGTTTGATACCTGAGAAAATCCTGTGCATTGCTCCATCAATGAGTAAGCAACAAGAATAGTTACTTACAGTTGACACCCATAAGCAGGAAAATAGTTGCAAATATGGTTGTCAGAGAGAGAAACTGAAGTGACAAAAACCAGCCCCGTGTGGTTTAAGAATATTTCCTTAGGGCATGATCCAGTGATGCCGAAAGAAGGGCTGCCTCAGTTCAATGAGGCATTCCACGAGAGTGGATAGGCAATCTAGCAGACAGTCGTCCCTGTGGAGAGTCTACGGAGGCTGAGATCTGAGAC